CCCTATGGGACTTTACTACCCACACTTGAAGTTCTGATGCAGAAGACCCTGGCTGTGAAAGATTCACACTCCAGGATGACTGCAGGCCTTCCACATGCTATAACAAAGGTATGTTCCATCTGTAAGCTAGTTAAAATTTCTTACACCACACTATTTTTGTATATTGTAAAGTACATTCATTATCATTGCAGAAAAGATTAAAATAAGTCAAAGTCACTTTATTGTCAAAAACTGCAATATGTACAGAACATACACAGGATTGAAATTACATTACTCTCAGACCCCGGTGCAACAATATCCATCCATCCATCCATTATCTTTACCCACTTCTTCCATTTTGGGTCACGTGGGTTGCCGGTGCCCATGTCCAGCAATCACTGTGCGAGGGGCGGGGTACACCCTGGACGGGTCATAAGTCCATCACAGGGACACATAGAGACAAACGAGACAAACAACCATTCTCACTCACACCTAGGGACAATTTAGAGTTACTGATCAGCCTAACATGCATGTTTTAGGTCTGTGGAAGGAAACCCGAGCACCCGGAGAAAACCCACGCATGCACAGAGAGAACATGCAAACTCCACCCAGAAAGGCCCCTGAACCGGTGTTTGAACCAGGGACCTGCTCGCTGAGAGGCAGCAGCTCTACCAGTTGCGCCACCATGCTGACCCCAACAATAACCATTTAACATTAAAAAATGTAATAAATATAAGCATAAAAGGAAATAATAAAAGCATGATACTGTCTTAAATTGTACTATAGCAGTATAAAAAATATGTTAAAAAGCATATCTATAAAAAAAAAAAAAAAATGAAATGAAGGTCCTGACATTGATATTTGTAGTGAGTGGCAAAGCAGCATATGAAATGAATGTACATAGTGCATGTATGAAGTCCTTGGTATTGGTGTAGATAAAGTGACATATAAATAAATACAAATGTCAATAAGAATCCTCAAACAAAATTAAATCCATAATACTGATCCCACATTAGGCATGGTGTGCAAGTAATTCAATGACATAATACTGTAATTAGACCTTGTAGACATATCAAAACATATCAATTATATTTTTCAGGCTATCCAGACTCATTTTGCTGGTGTGCTGGACGACAAAGATGCCCTTCATTCAGCTGTCAGTTGTCCTAAATTCAAACTTCGATGGCTAAGAGACACAGGTAGGGAGTGAGTAAAAGAACTTTGATGTTGACTTTGAAAGACTGTCTTTATTTTTATTTTTTTATTTAAAAATGTATTTATGTTTAAAAAAGTGAAGACTTTTTTTTTGTTTGTAAAAATAGTATTTGTTTAATGAATTCAAGGAAGACACTCTTTTATATAAAGCAAATATTTCTTTATGATACTGAAGTCAAGAAATACTACATTATTTTTTTATAAAAAGTATTTATGTTTAATGAAGTCAAGAAAGATCGTTTTGATTTTTTAATATGTATTTTTTTTCCTGAAATAGTTTTTAAGTTCAACTTGATATATGTCAGGAGATACATTGTTGATGTTCCCATTAAAATGCACTTTCAATAAAGTAAGTATGCAAAGCTCATTGTAATTTTTATGTTGAGGTGGCGGAGGGTTGTTGTCAGCAGCTGCTGAAAGTAACTAATAAAGTAACTTGCAATCTAAATTAGTTACTTTCCAAATCAAGTAATCAGTAACTTAACTAAGTTATTTTTTCAAGGACTAATCAGTAACTTAACTAAATTACTTTTTCAATGCAACTATGCCATCACTGCTTATGATATTGTATGTAATTGTGCATTAAGTTGTTTTGAAATTTTGTTTAAAAACCTTAATATTAAATCTTCTGTTGTCATGAAATAAGGTTTGTAGGCTCAATTGCATGTGTTAAAAGCCTGCTTCTGAGATTCCAACAGGAGGTTGGCTTGAAACACAGCAATGAAAGCTACTTATGGGACAGATCTGGCTGGCAGGCCGTAGACTGATGAAGTCTTCCAGATGGAAGACAAAACGTTTCTCCCTTAAAAAAAAACGGGTCCAGATGACATAATTTAAACTTTTTTTATTGCATTGAAATCATCTTAGCCTGAAAAACTGGCATGAAAGGTAGCAGATGATGTGTGTTCTGTCGGGTATTTTTCACGTCAAACCTACAAAGAATTCACACGAGACAACAAAGTGAGATTTTTGGCCAACGCTCTTTGCAAGGAGGGAAATTCACCTCTGGTCTGAAATCAGAAGTGAACTCCAAAGCCTTGCTATTTGAGCTGACTTTTTATCGGTAAGAGCGACATCAGTTTTGCATCAACGAGATGTGTTTGGCAGGTGGTTGGAACATTCTTTGATCTGAACAAAACATCTTGTGGAATGCTAAACAGTTACAGTTGATTAGAAAAAACATGTATTCCCAGCCAGTGCTGATGGTGAGGCCTCTCCATCGGTGCACTTTGGGCATCGGTGAACGTTTCTTCCTGGTCATTGGTGTAGAGGCTTTTCTGAGGAGCATCACGGGGCTAGATAGGGGGAGCAAAGCACAAAGCCCCCCCCCCCCCCCCCCCCCCCCGTGTGGTGGTAGTGCAGTGTAAGCTCTTTGGCCACACATGAAGTACC